CCATTCTTACAACTTATGGCAAAATGTGAAAATGATAAGGCTTAGCAGACTTCCTTAACCACAGGACTAATAACATTTGGGAGTGGATATTTTGCTGTTGATGGAGGCTGGCCTGTACATCATAAAGCATTTAGGAACATTGCTGGTCTCACTATAGTTTAGTAGTACATGTACAACCCCCTCCAGTCACCACAACTGTAACAATAAAGAAATTTTTCTAGACATTGGCAAGTGCCCTCAATTGAGAATCACCGGTGTGAGTAAGATGATCAGAATTTACTGGGAAATTAAAACATTTCAAGAATCTAACAGAATGAGCAAGGCTTCACCTTTACAAGAAGGAAGAAAAAGGCCATGACTACATGGTAAAAGGTAGATAAACTCAGAACACAAAGTTAATGTGTGCTTGATGAGTTTGTACTCATTAAAAATACAAGTTCATAGAACACGGAGAAATGACTGGTGCTGTATTAATTTTTTTTTTATGTTAAGAGGCTATTGTTAGAGAAGTTCTAGGTTTAAAAAAAAAAAAAGCAACAACATTTGAACAGAAGGCACAAAGTGTAACACCTTACCCAGTCCCCAAACATACATAGACAATATCTGTTATAATCACATCTTACAGTAGTGCAGAACCTTTGTTATAGATGATGAGTCACTACTGATACATAATTAACTAAAAACTCTGCATATTATATATTGCATTAGGATTCATTTTTTTGTATTGTGCAGTCCACAGGTTTTCCCAAATGTATAATGACAAGTATTCACCATTAAAATGCCCAATAGGAAAATTCTATTGCCCTATAATTCCCATGCCCCACCTTCTCATTCTACTCCTATTTCCCCACTTTGCTGGTAACCAGTGATTTTTTTTATAGTCCAAAATTGTACTTTTTCAAAAATAATGCAATTGCATTATACATTATAGAATCATATTGGCTTCTTCACTGAACAAAATAGCTTTCTGATTCTTTCATGCCTTTTTGTGTCTCTCTCTGTGAATAACAGCCCATTACCTGGAGGTACTACAGATCGTTTATTCAGGCACCTATAGAAGGGCATCTTCCCAAGTACTGGTAGTTATAATTGAGATTTCTAAAAGACTTTCTGTGTAGAAAGTCTTGTGGGGGTGGATTGTCAACTCATTTTGGTAAATTTCAAAAAACACAATTGCTGGCTCATGAGGTAAAACCATTATAAATATATACACACACACATACTTACATACTAAGTATGTACACACATATTTATATATATATATACATACACACATATTTATACACACACACACACACACACACACACATATAAACTGTCAAGCTATGTTCCAAAGTGGTAGGGTAGTACCATTGTACATTTCTATCAGCAATGAATAAGAGCTGAGTTCCTGTTCTAAATTCTTGTCAACATTTGGTGCTATCAATGCTTCTACCATTAGGTATTTTAATAGGTGTGTGGTTATTTTAATATATCAAATATTCAGGAATATTTAATCCCCAACTGACATAATGCACTACACATTTTCATATGCTTATTTGGCAACTGTGTATCTTTGATGATCTGTCTGCTAAATATTTTTTTCCACTTTTTAACTGAATTGTTTGTTTTGTTACGCTTAGTTTTAAGGTTTCTTTGTATACAGTAGATAACAGTCTTTTATCAGATAATTGTTTTATAAATCTCTCCCACATGACCTCTCTTTTCATTTCTCTTAACAATTTCTTTCATAGAAAAATTTTATGTTTATTTAATATTAATAAAGCCTGACTTACCAGTGTTTTTCCGCAAGAAAAACACTGACTATGCTTAAGTTGCTACATATAAAATTTCCTCGCCAAGCCCAAGGTTAACTAGACTATAGCCAACGTTATATTCTAAGAATTTTATAGCTTTATGTTTTAAATTTAGATCTTTGATCAATTTTTAGTTAATCCTTGTGAAGGATTACATTGTGTTCCCAGTTTCTATATTTTGCATTTTCATATCCAATTCTTGCAGTATCATTTCCTGAAAGGACTATCCTTCCTCCATTAAATTGCCTTTGCTCCTCTCTCAGTAATGAGTTGGGTATGTGTGGGTCTATATCTTGACTTTTTTTTTTTTTCTGTTCCATTGATCTTTTTACAAGAAGAATGTTAGTGTTTTCTCAACAACAACACAGTGTCTTAATTACTGGCTTTACAGTAAATCTTGCGTAGCATCTGTTTTCCAACTTTTGCCTTCCTTTCTGAACTTTTATGAACACCAAAATATTTAAGATACCTAAGTGCACATATCATGACTTAATTGTGAGGGCCAAGGCATAGACTGTTTATAGGTATATAGTATGGGCAGAGAAAAGCAGTTTATATTACACAATACTTCTTCCAAGACACATACATATGACTCTACCCAAGTTCTTGCAGTGAAGTGATAGTTATAAATCCAGGGGTCTACATAGATCTACAGTGAAGTGACTAAATTCTGTACCATGAAACACCAGCTGATCTGGGCCTCAAAAAACAGATCCTGATCTTCCATCACTCTTTACATTGCCACAGTAACACCAGATCCTTCAGAAAATACACAAGAAAAAAACTTCTTATGATTTGGATACAAGGAAGCATAAAACATTTATTGCATTACAACGTTTATTTGGCACTGAAACATGGCCTATATTACCCTGAATAATACTTTCAAAATTGTAGCTCATTTTCTGTTTTTATTCATTTATTTATTTATTTTTGGTCAGGATTCAGCAGTCAGGGTTAGAAGTTCAGAAAACAGAATAATCATTTTCATATAGTTGAAATATGGCACAAAGTGGAATGTCCTTGCCTAGGATGTAGATATCCCTTTTTACTCCCTATCAAAATGATACAGGATGCCTAAATTTTATTAACTGCTCATCTGAAATCACAATCTGGACTGGAATATACCCATTCCACTCTAACTTCTGTGCAACATGCATAATTTATTTAGAGACATTAAATTTGTAGGGTCCACAGCACTCAGCCTGAGGTGATTCAATTATCTTCCCCTAAAGTGAGACAAGTAAAAAGCAGATCAAAGAAAAGGGAACAAAGGAACTCTTAAAAATATATAAGCTGATCTTAAAGAGCATAAAAAAAAAAAAGGTTTCTTAGAAAGTAGTAATTGTAATGGGGATGCTCATCATTTTCACGTACTATCTTTATTCCAAAGAATCTCAAAGGATTTTGGATCTGATCTGGCAATTTCAATACACGTGTGACTGAGAAAACTAATAAATCACACAAAGTATTCTGTTTGAAGGCAGCAAAGACCAGGACATAATGATGTGTCCCAGTGGGTGAATCACTTGACTACACCCTGAATAACCCATGG